CAAAAAAAGGTGACCTGTGCATATTTGTGGTGGCTGAGATCTGGGAATGCAATTAGAAAATGTGGGAGCGTGTCAGTTGCAAGAGAGGCAGTCAAATGTGGAATGGGGGAGCAGCAGTGATGTGTGGGCCAGTGCTCACGTGACATCATGTTTTGTTTGAAAATGTGCGGTATGTTAAAATGTCCTGCAACCAAAGAATGGATAAAGAAAATGGACATCTAAACAGTGGAGTATTATTCAGCTGTTACAAAAAAAAATGCCTGGAATGAGGAAGAAAAAAATCATCCTGAGTGAGGTAACTCAGACCCAGGAAAACAAACATGGCGTGGACTCACTTCTAGGTGGATATTAGCTGTAAAGTAAAGATAATCATGCTACAACCCTCAGGCCCAGAAAGGCTAAGAAACAAGGACACACGGATCTCTCTGGGACCGTACATCTTTTAAGGATACCGCATGATGTCTAGGTACCCCCAAGGTACCTTTGAGGGTTACCTCCATTCTTGGAAACAACCATTTACAAAGCATATTTCTTGCCGAAGACAAGGACACTGCTTCCAATGCCGCTGCTTGAGGATCAATGAAGTTCTCTTTGCAAGCAATGGCTTTGCAAGGCAAAGATGGCTCAGAGTTTGGGGTGCAGCCAAGCTGGGATAAGGATCCTTCCTATCACTGAGATGAAGCGATTGTCTAGAGCCTTGTTTATCTCATCAATAAGAAAGAGGAGAATGGCAACAATAAAAATAATGTGTTGTAAATTGCAAAAAAAAATCCATTATCACCATTAAAAGCAAATGTATTCATTTTTCGCAAGAAAATCAAAGCAATTATTCCCTCAAAACCTCAAGTAAATTAAAATTAGAGGCTTGCACGATGGCTCTGTGGAGAAAAGTAAACCACAGCTCCTGCAGAGGGCCTAAGCTGAGCTCCTAGTGCCAACATTGAGTGCCTCACATCAGCCTTTATCTCCCAACTCCAAGGCATCCTGCGCCTACAGAGACAACATGACTAAAAATGAAACTTTAAATTTTTAATTTTTTTTAAAAAAAATTTCAAATTACCCTGCATGCTGCCCTCATTCATATTTTCAAACTTTTTTGCAGCCAGGTCCCATTCAGCAGTTGTGGTGGAAGAGTGAAAGAATGAAATGGCTAAGGATCTGCCGTTCCTAAGCTAGAGTCCAGCACTAGACAAAGTCCATTCAGCGCCGTCACTATTTATCTCAAGATTTAAACAGTAACCCTAATTGTGTTCTTTGAACACGAAGTTCCTTCCCCACCTCCCCCCCCCCCATCCCATAGTTAATTAGCTGGGCAGGTCTTATAACAAATTCCCACTCTGAAGCACTGGGTGGTAGAAATACTGTTGATAATTAAACACCACAATAGCAGGGAGCCTGTCTCAGGAGCCGTGAAGTGGTCTTGCCCCCGCCGGACGGCTTGCCACACACCCACAGACCCTCTATTGTGCTGCCTGTGGCTGCTCAGAGGGACAGTCGCTGGGCTGCAGAAGGGACCAACTGCTAGGAAAAAGAAAAAGCTAATACTTGCAGAGGTCAGGACACGAGAAAACAGCCTGCAGGCAGAAATGAAAGTGGAATCGAGACCCAAGGCAGGGAGCAGAGGATGGCCAGGAAAAAAAATCAACCAGAAAACAGGCATGACCCCTGCCCCCATTTCCGATCAAACAGCCAAAACGAGGGTGCCAATTATAAGCTGAATATAAACTGCAATATGTAAATCACAAGTTGATTTATATTCCCTTTGATTTGGAGAAGAGTTCTCTGAGTTCTTGAAGGTGTTTAAGAAGACTGACTAAATCACCCTGCTTGCCTGGATTCCCGCTTCTTCATCTTTAAAATAGGGAGAGTAAAATGGTTCCCACCCTCAAGTCAAACCACAAACAAAAGAAGGTCCCCAGAACAATTTTAAAGGTACCAAAACCTACCCCATCACATATCCACTCATGATCAAATTACCCAGCTTGATACAATCATCGTATTCGCTTGCTTTTGCCTAAATAAATCTACCCAGTTAAGTCGATTATCTCATTGGACAGATGCTACTATTGGCAGTTAAAAGGGTCATTAATAATAGGCAGAAACATGGCTGTTTTATAAGTCAGCTGGTTTGGTAGCAAAAAAAAAAAGTCTTTCAAAGGGGTGTTTTATTAAGCTATTAAAAAAATTCATAGGAAAAAAATATAAAGATTTGCCTGGTGAGATGGTTGGAGAACACAGGTTCAGCCTTTGAGATTGGTCCACACGATTGCCTGTAACAACAGAGGCCAGTGAGTACAGTCTCAGGGACACCTGGGGCTGAATCTGGAAAGAAAAAAGATTTCAAAATACTTTCTCTTTTTCAAAAATGTAAATCTTCAGGCTTTTAGGATTTTTTTTTCCCCCATTCGCCTCCAGAATCAACACACCTGTCATTTCTAAACAATATGTTCTCACTCGGTTCTGCAAGGAGAATCCAGTGTTCTAAAAGAACAGCGACACGGAAGGATAGTGGTTCCTGAGATGCCCTCCAGTCCCTGTCCCACCCACCATCACCACTGCACCCTGCAGTGGCAGAACCATGCTTTTTTTGCACAGCACTGGATTGTAGCCCCTTTGGACCAGGCACCTGACTGTAGAAGCCGAAGGTGCCCTCCTAGAAGATTCGGAGAGGGCAAAACTGCCTTATGGTGAGGAAAAGGACTGAAGCCCTGGAGGAGCAGAGCGGGCAGAAGTAAACCGTGTTGTCAGGGAAAGCAGGAAAAAATGTCAGGGGCAGGGAAGGGGAGCCACGCACAGACCTCGAGAGAGAAGCTGTCCATCTGAAATGCCACCTGGAACGCCAACCCATAATAACTGTTGTGGATTATAAAAATTAATAGGGGGGGATTTCGCAGTATTAGAAAAAATTTATTTTCATAAATCATGTGCCTATCACCCAAGTGTTGACGCATGCGTGCAATTCAAACACCAGGTTTACAATAAAAGGCCCAGTGAGTAACTTAACAAGGGCAATTCCTCCATTTTCTCTCTAATTTAGAGCGGGAGGAGGAGGGGGCAGCAGGGAGAGGGTGCGGTTACTGGGTCAATTAATCAACCTGAAAACTGTGACACAAGCTCTGACGCCTAACCTATGTCTAAAAATACACAAATGTATACGAATTTGTTTTAAACTGTCAATGCCTATATTTAGGGCCTTCCCAGCAAGCCTATAATGAGACTGTGTTTGAGGGCTTCAGTCGGAGCAGACTCTACCATTAATCTGAAGTTAGTTAAATTAACAGCATTTAGTACTGCCTTGTCAGTCTTAACAGCTCCAGGAAATTGCACCTTGAGGCTACTAATATTGCCAATTTTTCCACTGGAGCGTTTGCGCATGGAGATGTGTGTATGTGTGTGTGCGTGCATTTTTTTTCCTCCCGGACCTCCCTATTCATGGACCGTCATGGCCTCTCTACATCCCCAGCACTTAGATTATCATTTATTCTGGCCTCCGTTAGCCTCCCTGGGGGATTCTGCACAGCGTAGCTGCTCAGTCAAAGCGTTTTTTTAAACTTTCTATTTATTTGTTTATTTTTCTGTCATGGCTCATGACTGAGGCTTTAAAACAAGAAGTGTGACAGCATTTCGAGTACATGATTGACTGCTGTGACAACATTCATTAGCCGTGCCAAACCTGCAGCAGAACACAGTCCCGGGTGTTCCGAGCAGCAGCTCTAAGAAGAAAGAAGAAAAGAAAAAGAAGAAAAAAAAAAAGAGAGAGACTCAACTAATTTTTCATTGACCTCATCTGTAAATAAATTTAGACTGATGATGCTCAGGGGCAATAATAAATTAGTATTCATTTCCTGTAATTAACGCAGACATGCTTATGAACACAGAGTATCTGAATAGACAACCACCTAATTTCCATTTCAAAATACGCCTAACACATTTTCACTTGAGTTATCTTCATCATATTTCCCATTAATTATAAAGAATGAAATGGGTGGGTTTTGCTTCCCACTCATCAGAAAGAAATATTGTTTTGGTCACAGGGAGCGTCAAACACATTCTCACAGGGGGTGGCGAGCACATTCCAATAACACATCTGCAGACCTTGCCGCTGGCTTTTGTCCCTGTTCCTGTGGTCCTCGGCCACCTTTCCAGAGGGAGGCTGTCTCCTGTCTTGCCACCAGTTGGGAGGGGCTCCTCAGAAGTGACAGGTGACCACCTAAGCAGACCCTCCCAGGCAGAAGACCACAGGATGCAGTCTCACAGGCCAGCCCAAGAATGGGCAACTTCTACGGCTGCTATACATCTGACCACACAGGGCAGACTGATCTAACAACATGATGGAAGCCAAGTGGTGCTTGGGATGCACTGGTACAATCCAAAGGCAAGGCTCTAGTAAGTCTGGCTCTCTGGGGCATGGATATTTCTGGAGAAGGTACATTCCTGGAGCCAGACCACAGTCGAAGATCAGTGTAGGGTCCAGCCATCGAAACTCCCTAGCTCAACTGTTGCACCAGCTTGAGATACTTCATTAGCAATGTAGAAAATGGTGAATACTAAAAGAATCCCAAGACATGCATGCAAAGTTTGCTCGAGGCTGATAAGAATGTGACAAGGGCACAAAATTTAATATTTTCTTTTAAAAAAAATCAACTTTGGTAGAATGTAGTTTGTTCCATCTTGGCCTGATGGAGCCTCTGCTCCCGTGTGTGTGTGTGTGTGTGTGTGTGTGTGTGTGTTCCTCCAAATGTCATCAACACAATCATAACTGGTTATGCCGAAGGAGTTCCCTGGGAAGCATGTGACAAAATGGCCGAAGAGCTGTGGGAATGTCTTCATTTGCTGAATTGACCACTAAACAGTGAATGTCAGTGTTAGGCCTTATCGTAAGATAGTTGATAAGAAACACAGAGCCCACGCTCTCCAGAGTTTTTCAAAGGCAGAGATACGCAGACAGCCTAAAGCAACCACGCTTCCTAAGGACGGTCATCTTATCTCTTTCTTCCTAGTTGTCAGCCGAGAAAGCCGAGCCATGCACCTCAACACACTAGTCCAGGAGGCCCAGGACAGAGTGAGTGAGCTGTCTGCCCAGGTGGAGAATGAAGGCTTCACTCTGGACAACACCGAGAAGGAGAAGCAGCTGAAGGCTTGGGAGTGGAGGTCCCGGCTCTACCGACGCATGAAAACCGGCTTCGAGCACGCCAGTGAGTATGCGCGCAGAGGATGGAGGCACGTGACAAGGCTGAGCTTTGGTTAGAGACAGCCAGGCCTTTTACCGATTTCTCAACTCTCCAGTCGTAGATGGCTGCTGTCAGCCTCTTTGGGGCAAGAACTCTGGGAGGCTGTAAAAGGGGCTTTTGTCTTGCTTAATTTTCTGGCTCCCAATTGGTTCCCTGGCCACAGCCGTGAGCCCTGGGTGCTTCTGGCCTCCCTCCACCGCATCTCGGCTCATCTAGCACTTCCCACCAGCTACGCCCTAGTGCCTAATGGCCCGATGGTCTGATGGCCTGAAGTGGCTATATTTTGGGATGTGGAGCTGGAAAAATATTTATTTGCCTATTTGTCCAGCTTCTGCTTCAACTTTACAAGCTTAAAGTGTTTTCAACTCTCTACTGTATTTTTTTTTTTAGAGAGAGCTATAAACTGAACTTAATACAACAGAGAAAGATAGTCAGCTGGCCCATGAATTATGCTTTTGTCTGCCTTTTCATTCTTTCTACCAGTTCTTTTGGCTTGGTTAAGACAGTCCAGGTTAGTGCTTACTGGCAGTGCAAAATTCACTGCTGAGTGAAGGCCCTGATGTGAGAACGTATCCAGCCCAGATGTTTGTGAACCACTAAACTCTCATTCTATAAGAATTTTTTTTTTAATCCTGGAAGATTTCATTAGGACGAAAATGTCCAACTCAAACACTTGCGAAGCCCTGCTCTCGTTCTAAAGGATTTAAACAACTAAAAGAAACGGAGTTAAAATTCCAAATACAAAGAAAAAAGTCAGTTCTATCATTTAAAAGCCCCTGCCTCACAGAATGCCCAAGCCAATGAGCCGACTCTGGAAGATGATTAAATGCCAAATACAGGGGTTGTGATGACGGCGCCATAGGTTAGAGCATTTGTTGTGCAAGCATAAAGACCTGAGTTTGAACCCCTGGCACTCACGAAATACTCCAGGCATGGCCACACCACAACTCCAGCGCTGTGTTGAGAGTGGAGGGCAGGAGGATCGCTGGGGTTGCTGGCTGCCAGTCTAGCTCCAGGTTCAACGAGAGACCCTGTCTCAAGGGAATAAAGTGGAGGGTGCTCTAGCAAGATACACTACGTTCTCCTCTGGGTCATGCACATGCACACACACTTGCGCATGCATGCATGCATGCACTGAGCCTTTTAAGGAAAATGTTCACAAGGGAAGGCAAGTGGGCTGTGCAAACCAGCATCTGCAAAGTGTCTGCTCCCACCGTCCCACGAAGAGGCAGGAGTGTGTTTGGAAAGGACCTGAGAAGCTAAGACTCTGATGGTTTTCTTTCTCTGTCAGGAGCCCCGGAGGTGCCAGCCAATGTCTGTCTCCTGGTAACCAGCAGCACATCCCTCACTGTCAGCTTCCAGGAGCCCCTCAGTGTCAATGCAGCTGTAGTGACCAGGTACAAAGGTACTGCACTCCCTGTCTTCTCTCCCTGCGCCTTCCTGGAAAGGGATCTGGGGCGTGGGGATGGATGGTGTGCTTTGTGTGTCTGGTTCCACACTACTGGGGTTGTTCTTATCCCCTTTGCTTTTGAAGTCAACATAGAGCCCTGCACATCATTGTAAAGGTTCAGGGAGGTGACTGAGAATAAGTCACAGGTATATTGAACAGGACCGGGTGGTCATTCCCTCACTGAACGTCTCGTTCATGTCTGCAGCACACCTGTTCTACAGAGCATAGGGCGGTGATAATGGTCATAAGAAAAACAGCTGATCTGAGGAGCAAAAAGGCTGAACTGTGGGGGGTCAGTAGCGGGGAGCAGGAAGCATCGGAACTGACCTCTATGTCCCCACTGACATTCACGGGGACAAGAAAAGATGATGATGGGAGCATGGTCAGGAAAGCCCCCAAGATGGAGGTAGCCTTCAGACCCGGCTTTGAAAGACAGATAGAAGCTGAAGGGAGATTTTGGGGACAACCTAATTTCTACATGGCAAGAACAATGAATACAGCTGTCAATGCAAAGGAGTACTGGAACAATTAGAGGAGGAAAACCACAGCGGGGGTAGCAAATGATAGCTTGGTTCCTCTGGAGCAGGAGAACGTGGAGAGGAATTGAAATAGAAGCAGAAGCCAGGGAGTCAAAACTCCATGAGATAAACTGTGGAGAACTACTGGATACAATAGGGACAAGCTCACAAGTCGATTCTGAAGTGCTGATCGTGCGTACGATGGGCTGGGAGAGACAGAGAGGGAGTCGTCTGAATTTAAAAAAGAAAAATATAAGAGCTGTTCAAAGGCAAGGGCATGACAGCCTGAGCCAGCTCCAGCAGCAGCACTGGTGAAGGACAGGAGGGGACCGGGGAGGAAGATGTGGTAGGACAGCATGAAGCCAGTCAGCCCCACGCACAGTACCCGCTATGAGTTAAGTACCACCTGCCCGAGCCTCTGTGCCACGGCTTGGTCCTCACCTCTGTGTCATGAAGCATATTTATCCTCACACACACCAGGGATGACAGATTATAGAGTTTTCTAGGGGCTCACGAAAGAGCCCAAGTCATTACATTCTGCCCACTCTAGATTGTGGGAAAGGAATTTTCTGATTCACATGGGCATGGGGACTGGCCCTGATAAAGCTCTCTACACCTGCTCCAGGGGGCTGGTTCCACAGGAAACAGTGTGTTCGAGTCTCTACCATGCCCTCTACCTGTGAAACTGCTACACGTGTCCCTTTCTTCTTCTCAAGAGCATTCCGTACATCTCTGTAGACGTGGTAGCTTTCTGGGTGCTTGGAACTGGCTGGGGTCTGTTCACTCCATTTGTAATATCTGAGGTGAGAGATTGCAATGGATGGACTTGGTGAACTGGGTTTTCTGTGTCAAAGAGAAGGCAACCTTAGACCACCAGAAACTGTGCATAGATGAAGCCCCTCGGGATGGCTTCCTGACGCTACTCCTTTGAAATAGTCCATGCTTCCCTTTGCCTTCCCTTTTGTCATCTCGCCTGCCCAGACTGACCTGCAGAGCCAGGGTCGGCAGATAGGGTCAGACATGGGCAACGCCCACTTCTTACCGCTACCTCTCTTGAGTTTGGGATTTTGATGGAATGTTTCATCACTGCTGCCCAACTTGACATGTCCTTCTCGGGTACGGTTAGTGAGCTATCAGGAGCTAATTTACCCAGCTCTTTCCTACTTAACCAAAACCCCAGCAAATTCTGCCAGCGTTCACGTCTTTAACTCTTCTCTTGGGAAGCCTTTGGGTGAGGTGGAAAAGAAAGTTTGCAAGTGAGCGCTTGGAGTAACTGGAGGGGATTAATTAAGTATTATAAACAGAATTGTCTGCTGCATCGGGAAGCTGGCTTCCTTACGCTAATTCCTGGGGACACAAATGGAGCCCTTAACCCGACCGCTCTGAAGGGTTATTTAAAGCAGCTGGCAGTCCACTGTGTCCACAGAGACAGATGGGTATGTTTTAATGCAGGGGTTAAAGTAATTATTTAATTGTGGAAATAATAGGAAAATTACCCTGAGACAAAGATAATTATTTTGTTTGCTTTTAAAAAAAAGAAGAAGAAGGCGGCAGCGAGACAATTGAGAAATCCACAGAATGAAACGGCAATTATCTAATGGCTTATGGGGGAAAGCTTAACCCTGCAGTATTTGGGGTTTGGCAAAAAGGCCTCATTCACCCTACACTCCAGAAACCTCAGGCATATCTTGACAGCTAAACGTCCCCCCCCCCCCTTCATGCTCAAGCCAATGTATATTGGGGGTGGGGGAGGCAGGCTCTGGCTCTTTCTGTTGCCCATCTGTTTACATTCATTAGCATGGTTTTGAGGAATCTTATGTCTATGCAGAAGTCTTCTGTAGAGCATCTCTTTGGGGGTCTTTTTTTTTTTTTTAAGATTGCAGAGTCATGCACCAGGCCAATTGCCATCTCAATGTGGGAGATTAAAGGTGTCCATTACAGCTTAGAAGGCAGGAAAATGGTTCTCAGGGAAAGCCTCTGGTTTCCCCTGTCTGCATTCTCCCCAGCTACAGTTAACTGGGGCTGATTCTGGGTGTTTCTTCCTCCGATGCAGTCTTTGCATCTTTCTGTCTCATCTTAACAATCTCCGTGGTTTTACAAAGAGCAGCTAGAGTGGTCCCAGGTGCGCCGATGCTTTGGACCATTGCCAGAACACTGTTCCACATCTTCCTTTTCATATCCTTGGATAACCTGCTTGAACTCCTCGTCTGGAGATTGCATGTTGTTTTTCTGCGGGCCCAAACAGAATGTGTTTTCAAAATGATTTTGCTGCTCCTTGCCTGGCTGGGATGAGGGAACTGAGCCATATAGATGAGAGACTGTATCATGTAACAGGTGCAGTACAACCTCTGTCCTCTCTCTCTCATTCTTTCTCGACTAGAAGCAGTGAGTGACACCTTGTGGCTTGGTAATTACAAGATGCTGCAATAGGCTCTACAATGTGTAAGCACTACTGTACTTCTATAGCTACGCTCTTCCCTGCCCCTCTTCTCATCCTTTGTCCTGACAAACTCAAAACCACAGCCCTAGGCTGATACACTCCCATAATCCCAGCACTCAGGGTATAAAGGCAGGAGCATCAAGCCTTCAAAACCAGCCTGGGCTGCACAGTGCACAGTGAGTTCAAGTGCCAGGCTTCCACATGCAGTGAGACCTTGTCTCAAAAAACAAGGGGCGTGGCTACAGCTCAGTGGAGCGTGCTTGCCTGGGATGCACAAGATTCTGAGTTCAGTCTTTAGCACAAGGGGAAAAAAAAATCCTAATATCTGATTCTTATCATTGAATTGCTTGGCTGCTCTTCATGGAGTCACATTGCTTTGACAAAGCAAGCGTTTCCTCTCAAAGAACTTGCCAGCACCTTCTAGGAGCTTGTAGCCTATCTGCTGGTGCCTCTACCAACCGCCACCTCCAGGTTCTTTCTCGGGAGGAAAAGAAGTCAAAGAAGGTCTGGGGGAGTAGTCTGCCATATGCTCCCGAAAGCCTCCGCTGATAGTGCCAACACAATGAGGACCCTGCAATCGCCTCAGCTTTCTCCAAGACAGGAGAAAGAACCTGAATTCAAGGGCCACAAGTGCCCAGTGATTGCTATTTCCATTCCTTTTATGTCTCCTGTTCCTTTTCCTCTGTATCTTATAGTTTCAAGGGAATTTACCTAACAAGAAATAAGAACATTACATTAAAGAATGTAATTATCTTCCATGTTTAATTGAAGAGCTAATCCGAGCAGAAGTATAAAGCTGCTATCGTTGTTACTAGAGCAAAGCACTGCAGCATGCTACGAAGGAAAAGATTTCTGATACAGTTTGGGCTGTTTGGGTTCAGGGAGCAGGAGATAGTGCCAAAGGTTTACGGCAATAAAGGAGGGCCGCAACGATCTGCAATGCAAGGAATCAGCTAGCTCTCTTTCTTTCCTTTTATTTGGGTACTAGAAACCACAGCCCTAAGCTGGTACACTCCCGTAATCCCAACATTTAAGAGATAAAGGCAGGAGCATCCAGATTTCAATACAAGCCTGGGTAAAAAGTGAGTTACATGTAATGGGGGAATATTGAAAGTCCAGTGAATGAGGAGCCAGGAGGCTGGAAAGCCACTCTGTGCAAGAGCCTTGTGTCTGAGCTGTGAAGGCCTCTAGTCTGTTTCCCTTCACATTGCAGAGGAGTCAGGATCCAGCCAATTACTTATCAACTTCCTTGAACAGTCTTATAAACTTCCTTGAATTCTTTTCCCAATAATCTATATTGCAAAGAGTTGCCTTTTCTCTCTTTTTTGTTCTTTTTGTTCCTTTTTTTTTTAAATAGATGTACTCCTGCCTTTTCTCTTAGAATAATTGAATTTGGCTGTTTTATTTGTTGTTTGGTGGTTGGTTGGTTTCTTAAGCCATAACATTGAGGTTTTGTTATTTTCTATTTTATTAGCATATTTTTAAATTATAACTTTTATTATAAAAGATCAGGGATTATACCATTTTGATTATGAAAACTGATCAATGCTTGCTCTGGGCTACAATATGATCATGCTAATTTTCCTGATGCCTGCACAACCGAGAGACAATAGTCACTCCTGTTTGTGGAATATGTCTCTTCATCATAAATCAAGGCCTAGAGGCTTTCATGTCATTGAGTTTTGTATGCTTTTTCTAGAGGGAGAGATGCCAAGGATGATGGCCACACTCCCAGGGTCAGATGCACTTGACTTGGAAAATCCAAGCACTACTTACTAGTCAAGTTTGACCTTTGGCACAATACTTAAAACCTATTTCTCATTTTTAAGACTGTATTTATTATTACATACATATGTATGTGTGCATGTTCATCCGTGTGTGCACCACACGTGTTGGGTTTCCTCAGAGGCTAGAAGCGAGCATTGAGTCCCCATACAGTGGAGTTACTCCCATGTAGTTGTGAGCTACTGGGTGTGTGTGCGCTGAGAATTGAACCT